TAGATGATTGAGAAGATGAGATTTTGGACTTGGAGTTGATTTGAAACTTTTGAGATGGTATGATGGGGTGAATGTGTTTTGGCTGTGGGAAGGACATGAATATTTAGGGGCCAAAGAGTGGAATGCTGTGGAGTGAATTGTGTCCTGCAGAAATTGCAGAAATATGTGTTGTAAATCCTAACCTCTGTGCCTGTGGCTATAATCCTTCCGGGAATGGGATGTCTTTGTTATGTTAATGAGGCAGGCTTATTGTGGGGTATGCCTTGAGACAACCTGTTCTGAGATTTAAAATAGATTAAACTCTGGTAGCATAGTGGCTAAAAGCACTTGACTGCTAACCAGAAGGCTGGCGGTTCAAACCCACCAGCCACTCCTCGGAAGGAAGGTTGGGCAATCCTACTTCCGTAGTGATACTGCCTCGGAAACCCAAGGAGGGGTCGCTATGAGTCGGGGCCGACTCGACGGCACATAACAACAACAACAACAACAAACAAGCAATGGAGCAGAGCAGAAATGGGATAAGACATATGCCAAGATTCATGGAGATCTCCAGGGAACCAAAAGCTGAAGAGACAAGGACCTTCACCAGAGCCAACAGAGAAAGCTTTCTCCTAGAGTTGGTGCTCTGAATTCTGATTTCTAACCTCCTAAGCTGAGACAATAAATTGCTGTTTGTTAAAGCCATCCATTTGTGGTGTCTATGTTTAGCAGCACTAGATAACTAAGACACCTTCAAATATTGAGTGGGAGGGGTGGGGGCAGGTGTCTGGGTGTGGCAGGAGATTTTTTTTTTGAGGCTGAGTAAGCAAGAGTTGGGAGTGATCCAAGTTCCAGTGCCTGAAGGTCATTGCAATATGATTCTTCTTGGCAGAATCCAAGACTAATTTCTTAAGAGGCACCCACACAGTGTTCCAGGTTTCCAGATGACAGTTTAGCTTTCCACAGGAAAGTATCTTTGATGGATGTTGTGGCTCTCATAGGTGCAGTATCAATGACTTCATCACACTTGGAAATGCCTGGAGGAGGAAGCTGCTGTCTCTGCAGATATGCAAGCACAGCCAGGGTAGCCAGTTGCCACTGAGTTGATTCTGACTCATGACAACCCCATGAATATCAGAATAGAACTGTGCTCCATGAGGTTTTTAAATGTCTGATTTTTCAGTAGTTGCCACGCCTTTCTTCCAAGCACCTCTGAGTAGACTTGAACCTCAAATCTTTCTGTTAGCAGTCAAGAACATTAACTGTTTGCACTACCTAGGGACTCATCAGCATAGTTAGCAACTTGCTATAACTCAGACATGGCATGGAAAGTTGGCCAAAATGACCTGAAAGTTCTTTTAGATCCTGGGATTCTGTGATTCAGAATCAGAGACTTGATGCTCTGAGAAAGCAAATGGCTTCTGCAAGGGATTGGATGAGCAGCAAAACACTCTTCAAGGGAAGGATCTGGGTGTGAGAATGTCAGAGTCATCCCTCTTCACATCAGTTAAGAAACAACTCCTCCAACCATGCTTTTACTCTCCCTCCCTCTGTTGGAAAAAATACCACCTTCTCTCTCTGAGGAGGAGATAGCTAGAGTCTGGAGGTTTGGGGGTGCAGAGGGTCATCAGTCCCTAGTTTTCTACCAGCTTCTGATTTTGCTTCCTTCCATCTGCCTCTGGGCCTCATCAACAGTTTTCCAGGAGTAGTAGCACGCTAGAAGGAGCATTTCCCTTCAAAATGTCCCTAGCAACTTATACAGCACACAGCTTCAAGGGGATGTTACTAGGGTTCTCCTGCCCCCATTCCCCACAAGCAGGCACCCAAGGTTTGGACAAAGACAGTTGGTGAATCCAGGCCTTCCTACCCACTAGGTAACCCTGGGCAAGGTGTCAAATGTCTTTGTGACTCAACTTTCCTCACCTATAAAATGGGAATAATACCTACCTTGCAGAATAGAATAGTTGTGAGAATTAAGTGAGGAGATATGTAAAACAGTTGGCATAATGCCCTGCATACAGAAGGTAAAAATGGTTACTATCACTATTTAAGGGGAACAGGAGAAAGCCAGATATCCTCTGCTCCTCTGTCCTTTCCGGGCTAGGCCCCAATATGTTCTCTCCTGATCAAGCTCTCTCCTCCTTCAGCCCTGGTTTTCTGTCACTTTACTCTTTACCACCTGATAGTGTTTTGTAGATTTATTTGCTTACTGTTTATTGTCTCTTTCACCCATACCAAAGCTCTACATGTTTGCCTTGTTTGTTGCTGACTCCGTAATGCGACAGTAGCTGGCATTAAGTATTTATTGGAAAGAGGGAATGGTTTCATGAATGGACAAATGAATATATGTATAAATTACTGCCCTCACTTTACAGACTGAGAAACACTGAAGACTGGCCTAAGCACTGACAGCTAGAGGGCGCAGGCAGTCTCCTCCATGCCATCCCATGAGTATAGTTGCTTCTCTGTCTTGGCCATTATCACCTTTGGGAATACGAAGAGACTAGGGGTGGAGCAGCACAAGGCTACCAAGCCTCTTCTGTGCCAGCCTAATATTCTGGCCACTTACTAGGTGAGAATCTCCCCATTTTACTGATGAAGAAATTCAGTTTCAGCTAAGTGGCATGCTCCCAGAGATACAGTAGGAACTAACCCAAGTATTCCAACCCATTGCTAATTCTCAAGTCCCAAGGTAGCCTTCAGGGCAGAGGTGCCACAAAACAAATGTTTATTTAGTATATGCCAACCCTGTGCCAAGGCCCCTTCAGTAATTGCTCCTGCTTTATACAGTCAGGGAAACTGAAGTTGAGGCAAGGCAAAGGACTTGCTGTCCAAGGTCAAAAACAAGTCTAGATCCAGGACTCTTAACTTCATTCAGTCCAAGGCTCCTAAATGTTTGCATAAAGCATACTCAAGTGCAATTTGTAAAACTCAAGGGCCGTGCATGGCTGTAGGGTGAAATGTGGCCACACGTAAGACACCAGCACTGGCATCACCAGAGAAACTGGAGGCTGGCCAACGTCAAACCTGGCCAGTGTCTTTGGGGGATTCTGCCAGCCAGTCTGGGCAGGTTCCCATAGGGCCGCTTTGTGTCATCTGTCACCACGAAGGGAGGTGAGTGAGAGATGACTTTCCATTCTCAGTCCCAAAGACAGGATGGATTAACGCAGCCATAGCCGGCCTAGTACTCTAAGCCCCAGGTGCACGCGTTCGGGCGACCTGGAAGACCCAGCAGCGCCGATCCGGCCGGGAGATCCGCTCATCTCGCCTAAACCCTTCCACGCGAAACTCGGGCCTTTTGCCTTGGTCCACTCTATCTGCATCGGAGTCTATGAGTGGCGACCTCTCGCCTGGCTGCCCCTTCCTTCCCCACATGTCCCCGCATGTGAGTAGTGCAAAGTCCCAAGCTGAGCGTGCGCCGCGTGCCCATGGAGCCCGGATGACGATGGCGGAGCAGTTAGCTTGGGACAATGAGGCCAATGCAGGAAAACTAAGGAGCCTGGGCTGCAGTCTGTCCAGGATCTCCACCCGCCAGACCTCTTCCATTAGTTAGAGTGCTGCGCAGCCCCGCGAACATCTTGGCCAACTCGGCTTTGTACCAAATCGCGTCGTGTTGACGCTCATCACTGCTCAAAGTGATCATCACGCACCGCGCCAGTCTAGATTTCGAGTCCTGTAGCTAATACCAGTTTAAACAAAAATTACGCTCTTATCTTGCTGCTAGGCGTCAGTCAGCACCAGGTCATGCGTCTATCTAATAGCAGCTCGTCCATCTGCCAGACATTCCCACACTCGGTGTACGTCCTCCTGCCGTCGAAATGACACCTGCCGACGGCCTCCCCTCCCTGCGAGTCCTCCTGAAATTTGGCCTCTGAGACCTGCCCCTGCCGGTTGCGGACCCAAGCGCCCCGCTGCCGGCCCGAGTGCAGGGAGTCCCATTTACAGCCCCCCCCGCCCCGCGACAATCGCCGCCCTGGAAAGAAGTACAGAGACGCCATCCGGGGGCTCCTTGCTCCCCGCCCTCCCGGCTTCAGGCCCGCGCCGAACATACCGAGTCGCCAGTGTCCCTTAGCCGGCTGGACCCTGAAAAACTGTGGCCGATGACCCTCCTAGAAAGCAGGCGGAAGGTCACCACCGTCAACCACAGCTGAAGTTGGAGCGCCACTCCAGCAAAGCTCATCACCACCGGGCTGCCTTATAATTCTTGCTTAGTGCTTGGATCCCGCTTAGGCGCAAGTTCCGCGCCCAAATCTTTCCTTTCCGACGGTCAGTCGATGTCCATCTGTCTCTTTCTGGCCTGCCTTCCAGCCCCTTGCCTTCTCTTCCTCTCAGATGGGTCTCCTTCCCTAGTTCCGTCTGCCTGCCGATCCTTGGGACGCTGTGGCAGGCTGGGGAACTGCTAAACCGGTGATCGATAATGCTCCCGTATGGCTTCTGCGCGCCCTTGTGGCCTCTCTGTGCGCATTGGCCAAGGGGTCGCAGGGCGGGCAAGCGGGGCCGAGCCCTTCTGTGGTCCAACCTCCAGCGTCGGGAGCGGCAGTTGAAGGGGAACGGAGAACCAGGCAGAGGAGTGGGGAAAGAAGCTAGGTGCGTACGAGCGATGCCCCTGAGCATTAAGGAAAGAAGGCGCGTTTGGTTCCGGCGGGCGCAGCTGGGTGGTTAGGTGGATCGTATCTCCTTGGGGAAGGGAGGCGGGGCACTTTGTTGCAGCGGGAGCCCCCGGCCGGTCACACTCACTTGGCGAGGATGGGGGCAAAGCGCTACGGTGGGAGGAGGAGGCTCCCGCTCGGGACTTAACGTTAGGCCGGAATGGGGGGCGCAACGCTGCCACTAGAGTGTTCGGCAGGGGGCGCTGCTCCGGGCGTTGGACGGGGGTGGAGTGGGGTGGGGTGGGAGAGGAGGGGGGGCCGTGGCTTGCTGCGCACACTTCCCCCATTATTAAACACTATGTTCAAAAGGCGCCGGGGGACTTCCCGGAGCCACGGAGCCCGTGCCGACAGCCCTCCCGGCCCACGGAACCCATGGACCTGAGCGCCGCCGCCGCGCTGTGCCTCTGGCTACTGAGCGCCTGCCGCCCCCGCGACGGGCTAGAGGCGGC